TTTGCCTGTGTGTTTCTTCTCCTCTCTTGAGATAACCATAGTTTTCGTTTTAAAGATACTGATGGTCATCCCACTCTTCTCAAGCTCTTCCTTCCAGACACGTAAGTTAGATTGAAGATGTGCCCCCGATTTAATAATTAATAATAATTATATTGATAATAATAATCTATTAGAAATAATATGAAAAAAATAAACAAAAAATTAAAAAGCGGACTTTCCGCTGCGTAAGCTACTGAGTTTAGTGCTTGCTGCAGCACTGTGAGCTGTGTTTTTTTTTCCATGTGGAATGCCTTTTATTTGTGCAGCGTTGAGTCGTGGTATTCAATATGGCCGGTGGTCGGTTTACGTGTGGGCTGGTGAAATACCTTATGTAATAAATCTACGTGGGTATAGCCGACTTATCGTGCCCGACTACTTCCACCAACGCCAAACTGCATTTCTGGTGGTGACTGTTGGCTATGGCGCCTCTAGCAACTGTCATATGCATTTACTGCGTGCGCGGTTTTCTGGACTGTGCCGGAACTAATTGTTTACTAGTTTTTCAAATGGGAAAGTGAGGGACATTTTATTTGATTTTCACTGTCACGGGAACGGAGCAGTTGTGGCATGAATGGATTGCAGTGAAGACTAAAACTAACAAGAAGACCTCTATACATGGTTAGGGGGCCGCTTAGTTTACCTTCCCCCGCCACTCAATCCCGAGAATTTTTGGGACGGAGTGTGCAAGAGGCCTAAACCTGGTGCCCTGTGTTGAATTAAATCAAAAAGGATATTTAGAAGGGATCATCTTAAACAGGGCTTCTTCTTCTTCTTCTTCTTCTTCTTCTTCTTCTTCTTCTTCTTCTTCTTCTTCTTCTTCTTCTTCTTCTTCTTCTTCTTCTTCTTCTTCTTCTTCTTCTTCTTCTTCTTCTTCTTCTTCTTCTCCTTCTTCTTCTTCTTCTTATCTTCTTCTTCTTCTTCTTCTTCTTCTTTCTTCTTCTTCTTCTTCTTCTTCTTCTTCTTCTTCTTCTTCTTCTTCTCTTCTTCTTCTTCTTCTTCTTTTCTTCTTCTTCTTCTTCTTCTTCTTCTTCTTCTTCTTCTTCTTCTTCTTCTTCTTCTTCTTCTTCTTCTTCTTCTTCTTCTTCTTCTTCTTCTTCTTCTTCTTCTTCTTCTTCTTCTCTGGGTAGTGAGATCGGACGCCCGTGTTGCGCACGTAAAAATATACCTGAAGTATTTCAGGATCCTCGCCGGTGCTACTGAGCCTGTGCACTGTGCTGAGATTTTTCGCACCCAGACTTGAGTTAGAAGAAGAACGGAGCACTTATGGGTTACTACCCGTGTGCCATGATGTTGATCCGTTGTTCAAAACCTCAAGGACATTATCACTAACAGGTTGAATGTCGTACTTCTACAACTGACACCGAACAGTTGCTGGGTTACAGATTTTTAATGTTAACACGACTTTTGAAACAGACCGATGCATTTAGAAATAATAGAAAAAAGTGGTGTGTAGATCGGAGGTAGTCTGCTTATGACGAATAAATCTTTTAGGTGTTCCGTCTCACTTATACACTACTTTATCCCTGTGTGGGTTCCGGGACCCCATTTAATTGGGGGAAGTCCCCGTGTGGGTTCCGGGGCCCTATTATACGGAAAACATGAATAGACCCATTGCCTACCCAAAAGCCTGTTGTAAGAGTCGACTAATAATGAGCTGTCTTCGAAGTAGGAGTGCATCTGACCGAGAGGCAAGGAACCAACAGTCTGCATACAAATTTGTCACATCTCTCAAACGGAAGCACGCACAACACTCAGGCTCTGGAACAGGTCTACAGTCCAGAAATGAATGAACAACCACAACTTTCAGTCGGAGTTTACAGCTGGTGAACGTGAAGAAGACGAAGACGGCGAACAGGAAGAGTGGGGGAAGCAAGAATCGACCCACTACTTCTTAACAGACATTTTGTTCAAGGCGATTATTTATTAATTTTCTGAAATATGATGAGTTGGGCCGAAAGGTGCATATATCACAACCTAGCGGTAAACCACAAAGTAACAAGAGTCATTGTAAGGGCCAAAGCAAACGAAAAAACAGTCTACTTTATAGATTTCTAATTGAAGAGTAATCTTTATACCGACATTAGGTTATCAATGTCAGACTTGGACATTAACAAAAGAACACGAGAGAAGACTAACCACCTGTGAAATGAGATGTTTGAGAATGGCTGCGAAAAAAACCAGAAGAGATCGAGTGAGAAACGATGTGATTACAAGAACTATTGGAACCATACCCATCGTTAAATTTATTGAGAAGCAAAGAATGAAATGGTTTGGTCACCTAAGGAGAATGGAACCAACGATGCCAGCATCAAGAGCATACAACATGAAAATCGAAACACCGAGAGGCAGGGAAAGACCAAGAAGAAGATGGATTGAAGGAGTCACGGACAACTTGAGACTTCATAACATCACGGCATATGAAGCGACTGAGCGCGCCCTGGCTCGGTTGCCGATCATCTGATAGACTGCGACGCCTAGCGGCACAAGCAGATTTTGACAAAAGAAGAAGAATTGAAGAGTCTCCAGGTGTCAAGATCTAACAGTAAATTCGGTTGTTCTCAACTCTTACTAATGCCACGACCCTTTGCAGCAGTTGCTCATGCTGTGGTGACCCCCGACCATAAAACTATTTCCGTTACTACTTCATAACTTCAGTAGCAGCGTCCGTGGCTTAGGCGTTGCGAGTCCGACTCGTAATTCTAACGTACCGCGAACGAAACCCACTGCTGGCTGCGTGGATTTTTATCGTGGTATTTGGTGTCGTAGGTCGACCCAGCTTAAATTGGGTACTAGGATGGTTGTCCTGGAAAAGTAAAGACGGTCGGCGTAGTGCTGACCACAATACCCACCTAGTGCCGATGCTCTGTACAAATATAGCCGCTCTTCCAATGTACCCGATACGCCTTAAGACGTGGATGGGGATGATTACTTTACTTTACTCATAACTTCAGTGAATGTGTGTTTTCCAATGGTCTTAGGCGACCCCTGCAATTATGGTCGTTCGCTAACTACATATTAAGAACCGCTTTGTAAATTCAATGTCTATGTTACACAATTATAGATTTTACACAGACATGTTACACAATCACTGCTCTAGTTGTCTTACCCTCGACAGTCCCGTGTAGGGAAAACGGTCGAAACTGAGCTTATGTTCCTCTCCCTTTTTCCCTAGCAACTGTCCCGCAAAAATCCGCCCGGCAGTGACAGAGGTGGGGCCCATGCCATCACCCAGAAACAGAATCACATTCTTGGCGACGCCTCTGGTCGGCTGTTGCAGTGATAGCAACAGCTCTTCCTGAGCCACGTTTCGCCAGTACGTGGGATCTGCGGAATATAGGGGTTAAGTCTTGGCATAGATAAATAAATAAATGGTATGGAACATACCAAGCAAATCTCTTTCTTAATGTTTGTGTATTCTAGACAAAGCATTACGGTCTGCTGTGTTTGTAAATTTTTGGTGTGTTTGTTATTCGACCTATGCTTGGTTAATACAGATTTCCATAATCTCTGGTGCTATCTCAGTGGTTTTAAATGAATTCTGCCCGTATTCCATAGTTGTGGATTTCAAGCTGTGCGATAGACATAGCCAATGAAGACACCTTTTATAAGGTGCCTAGTTGGTCATGTGCTTAGTACACTTGTTTCCATTGCGATGCGCACACGCCATTTGCATGTGACAGGTTCGATTACCCGGCACGGTAGCTATAGCTTTAGATTTTATGTTGTCCAGTGTGTCCTTTTATCTTTCTACATCTTTCTATGAGTGCCAATCAATACATTGTCTGTTTTTATTAAGAACAGTTTTGTCAGACCTGATAAAGTCAAAGTATCTTACGAAATACATCAAAGGAATGTGTTCCCTATGTGCATCCGGGAAGATCCAGCGAATTATTTCAGAGAATTCTTCTTGGTTCAGCCATAAGAGGGCGGTTAGCAGGTTATGTTGTGATTTAAGCTATAGTGCCCCACACAAAACAATGGCCACAGTCAAATAGGCTTGACGTCTTCCTCCGAAGTCGGAGTACATCTGCCGGAGAGGCGGGGAACGAGTACTGCAAACAAATAAGCCAGTAAAACGGATGTACACTCAAAACTCAGGTCAAGGTAAAAGCCAAAAGTCCATTTTGGACGAACAACCGCGACTTACCGCCGGAATTCACAGCCGGTGAACAAGAAGAACAAGAAGAACAAGAAGAACAAGAAGAACAAGAAGAACAAGAAGAACAAGAAGAACAAGAAGAAGAAGAAGAAAAGCTATAGTGCGCTTCAGAACTCGTTTCAAAACCCCTATTATAGGGAAAACAAGAAAAGACCCACTGCCTACCCACAAGCATGTCGTAAGGGTCGCCTAATGTGGAGCTTCCTTTGAAGTCGGAGTGCATCTGCCTGAGAGGCAAGGAACCAACAGTCTGTGCATTCAAGTGAATCAGATTTGTAAAACTGATTTACACGCAACACTCAGCTTCTGGAGCAGGACTGAAGTCCAGAAGCGGACGAACAACCAGAACTTTCCGCCAGAGTGTACAGCTGGTGAACGCGAAGAAGAAGAAGAAAACTCGTGCTATTCCACTTTGAACAAACATCTCGAAATTTCATGTACGAATCAACAAGAATGTTTACATGTGGCTTCAGATTTCTCAAGTACTTATGATTCTCTAATTTACTACTGTGCAGGTGTTGCTGTTTTCTTAAAGCGGAGAATTTCTTTGATCTTTGATTGACTAATGGTTTCTTTACCCCTGGAAAAAAGGAATATACAGTAAGGGACACACGTATGTAGATTGTTTGGTTCACATATTCACATGTGAATCGATGCGTGTTTGGTTCACATATTCACATGTGAATCGATGTGTGTTTGGTTCACATATTCACATGTGAATCGATGCGTGTTTGGTTCACATATTCACATGTGAATCGATGCGTGTTTGGTTCACATATTCACATGTGAATCGATGCGTGTTTGGTTCACATATTCACATGTGAATCGATGCGTGTTTGGTTCACATATTCACATGTGAATCGATGCGTGTTTGGTTCACATATTCACATGTGAATCGATGCGTGTTTTGGTTCACATATTCACATGTGAATCGATGCGTGTTTGGTTCACATATTCACATGTGAATCGATGCGTGTTTGGTTCACATATTCACATGTGAATCGATGCGTGTTTGGTTCACATATTCACATGTGAATCGATGCGTGTTTGGTTCACATATTCACATGTGAATCGATGCGTGTTTGGTTCACATATTCACATGTGAATCGATGCGGGGTGATTGTTTCTGACAGCCTATTCCACACACAATGAAAAATCCTCAACTTACAGGAGACATGCTGGAGAAAACCAACTGATAGTGAAACGCCTATAACATGCATGTTATTCTATGTTTTGGAAAGTCCCATTTACTCAGTTTTTTTCAAGTTACAGTAAGCATGCTGACTGCTTTGAACTGGTATCTGTTGTATGCTTCATAAACCGCTAAAAAGAGTAAGTAAAGGACCCTTTTCCACGCCTTTAGGTGTATAGGGCATATAGGGCTAGACCTATATTTTTCTAGACTAATCAGCACAAGATGGGCGATGTAGTCAGCATCACGCCAGCCGCCTTTACTTCCCGGGACTGCCCCCGGTACCCACCCAAGGCTGTGTCGACCTGGAAGCGAAGGTCATTTTTTGAAAAAAAGTCCGGCTCCTCCAGGGAGCGAACCCACGACCTTCCGATCCGCGGAGAGCATCTAGCCGCTACGCCACGGCGACTCCCACCGCTAAAAAAGCAAAGAGAGAACTAGATGTTTGTTTAAATAAATGAATAAAAAATACTTACAAGGACATGATTATTAACAGAGACTGCATGCCAAATTTTAACTTACATCGAATAGTTAACAAGTAACAGATTTTTAAAGTTCAGCCTAACTTTTGAAACAAATTATGGCTTGCCGTGTCTGCGAATTTTTTATCCCAACACATCCAATGTTAACAAACTCATAATTGGTTTTCCCATACGGAGAGCAGATGGGATTTATTTAACCCCCCCCCCCCCCCCCCCCCCCACAACAACAACAACAACAACAACAACAACAAAACTACTGCCATTACCGCCTGTCTCGCCTGGGGGTTGGGCTCGAAGGCAGTAGATTCAGGTCCTAGTAGCGCCAGGCTTTTTTTTTTTTTACAAATGATCTTGGCTCCCAGATTCACCCAGCCTTAAATGGGTGCAGGTAAAGTCCTGGGAAAAAAGACGGTCAGTCTGATGTTGACCACATCACAGACCGAGTGTCGATTGGTTTATAAAATATAGTTCTAGCCCTATATGCCCAAAAACGTCTGAAGGCGTGCAAGAGGGTCATTTACTTAATTGTATTGCTGCTTGCACTGACTTCTTTCATGATGTAGGGCGGAAAGTTAAACATAGACTTACCTTTTTCATAAGCGTAGTTGTCGGCTGCCGCCCCTGCTTCAAGCAGTGAAGCTACAACCACCGCCACCACCAGAACAGAGAGCATGTTCTGCAACAAAAGTGAATGAATGCGATTGTGCAGGAGAAACGCGACGCAAATTTAACTCACAGTGGAAAGTCAGCACACAGTTTGAAGTCATATTACAGTTGAAAATCATATTACAGCGAAAAGTCACCTTACAGTGAAAGTCATACAGTGGAAAGTCATCTTACAGTAGAAAGCCATAAAGTGGAAAGTTATCTTACAGTGGAAAGTCATCTTACAGTGAAAAGACGTACAGTGGAAAGTTAGCTTACAGTGGAAAGTGTTACAGTGGAAAGTTATCCTACAGTGGAAAGTCATACAGTGGAAAGTCACCTGACAGTAGAAAGCCATAAAGTGGGAAGTCATCTTACAATGCAAAGTCATCTTTCAGTGGAAAGCCATAAAGTGGATAGTCATCTTACAGGGGAAAGTCATACAGTGGAAAGTCGTCTTACATTCGAAAGAAGAAGAAGAAGAAGAAGAAGAAGAAGAAGAAGAAGAAGAAGAAGAAGAAGAAGAAGAAGAAGAAGAAGAAGAAGAAGAAGAAGAAGAAGAAGAAGAAGAAGAAGAAGAAGAAGAAGAAACCCACAATTTTTCTTCTATTTTTCGCTGATTCACAATCTACACCTTACCCAATGTGCCATCTGCTCGATGGAAGAGTCCCACGTAAAATGACACGACGTAACTAGGGTGTAAACTTTAATCAGTTTTTTCGGGGTCAAATCTCACAGCACTGAAATTAGAGCTAAAAAATTAAACTTAGCTGGCAAAAAACCATGACATCATTTTTAAAAAAAAAGTCTTATTTCTTATTATGAATGTCTACACGTGATTGTTTAGATAAGGAAAGTTCTGCAATGGCACGATCATTTGATTGCTAAGTAACAACATTACCAACATTAAATTATTATAATTTTTTTTTTTTTTAACAAAACATAAAATCGATAATTTGACTACAAATAAGTTATCAAAAGACACATATATCGAAGACACCAATAACGGGTCAAGCAGGTGTAACACTGGAAACAAAAAGAATTAAAGTTCTTCTTCTTCTTCTTCTTCTTCTTCTTCTTCTTCTTCTTCTTCTTCTTCTTCTTCTTCTTCTTCTTCTTCTTCTTCTTCTTCTTCTTCTTCTTCTTCTTCTTCTTCTTCTTCTTCTTCTTCTTCTTCTTATTCTTCTTTTCTTCCACCTTGTACCTCATCGAAGTGTCGGGGGGGGGGGGGGAGATTTAATGTTCGTTGATGAGCTCTGTCAAGAGCACTATTAAGTCTGATATTCATTTCTGTAAGGCTATTATTAATGCCATCACTCCATCTTTTCCGAGGTCTTCCACTAGCTCTATACCCGTTGTAACGTTTTAGTGTGGCTCGTTGAGGCAGATAGTACCAGGGCATTCTTGTTAGGTGTCCAAACCACTTCATTTGTTGTTCTTTGATGACCTGTAAGACTGGCTTTATTCCTAGCATTCGTCTGATTTCGTGATTTCGTATTTTGTCTTTCCTTGAAACTCCTGCAGCTCTTCTAAGGCATTTCATCTCTGCTGTCACAATTTTAGGTTTATTGGAGGATGTAAATGTCCACGTTTGACATTGATAGCATAGTGTTGCCCCTCCCCCTAAAAAAAAAATAGTCCTCATAAGATTCACTTTAGTACTCCGAGGTATTTGCTTGGGAAGATAGTTGCCCCATTACTTGATTAGCTTTGGCACATATCGAGCTAATTTCTCTGTCCAGTTTTCCGTCGGATGTGAAAATTGATCCCAAATACTTAAATTCCTCTGTTTGTCTCAGGGTGTTGTTTTTTAATTTAATTTCTAAATTGTCTTTATGTCTTCCTA